GGGTCCGGGCTGGGGATTCGAACCCGCCACCTTAGGTGTACGTGGCTGGCGCCTTAGCGGGTTGAGCTATAGGCGCCGAGCCAATATTATTATACTAATGAAAGATACAGATTGTGTAATGTAGAAGTTAGATATTCTTTACGTAAACTTTTTTAAAGCCTGTTTTCATAAGTTGCGTCAATTTTATTCAGCACGGGTATATGAAATACACTTTAAAAACGTTCCCCTCCACCCTTAGATTGTCAGAGCGGAACTGCATTGAGATTGTAAATAAATTGATTGCTCAGAAACAGCTAGAAGTAGTTCACACACTCGATGGAAAGGAATATATTACTCCAGCCCAAATTAGTAAAGAAATGAGAGACGAGCTACATGTCCGTGGTGGTAAGTGATTCTTTAGTGTTTCTTCCTTGCATTTTTAGAAGCAGAAAAAAATAAAATAAAATAAAAAGGAAAACAAAAAGAAAACCATATACCTTAAAGCCATAACTAAGTAAAAATTATTTAGAGGTTATAAGACATCCTTTTCATTGTTAATTTGATAATCTGCATTAAGATTTTTACTAGGCTCATACAAACATGGTTATATAACTATTGATAAATGCAAGTGATATTATCACTTTACAAAATAGCATTTTGTATCATTTTGAGTTATGTGTACTATATGTGAATTAATTGTTTTCAGAATTCATTAACTTACTGCATGACTCAGGGAAAGTACTCAGCTGCCTGTTATCAGGTGGTAATTGTGAAAAGGGAACAGAGTTGTTTTTTTTAATGAAGTTTGTATAACCATGCTTTTTAAAAAGTAGTTTTAAATACTTGAAAAGGAGGTAACACAATTCAATATGGTGTTACAAACATCATATGGTATGAAGTGCTAGTACAAGCAAACAACAAAGTTTTTTCCCTTTGTCTTTTTAAAATTTGAACAAACTGAGCAAATTTGAACACTAATAGAAGCAACTATGAAAACAATTCTTAAATGTTATGGGAGCATAACCTTGGTGTTTGCCTTTTTTTTTTTTTAATCTTCTTGCACAATACTAATAAAATCTGAGCTGTAATTTGAAATGTTTAACTGATTTTCTTTTGCTTATAGGTAGAAGCTTACCTTTTAATTTCAAATAATTGAAAAAAGTTTATCTTAATTTAGTTGTCAGTATCTCTGGCCACAATAGATAAATTCTTAGTTGTGAAGGGAAATGAATACCCTCCATAGATCTAGCCAACTTATGCATCAGTTGCAGCTCATAATTGGCCTGATGGAGGGGAAAGAACTTCGATGCTGATAATTAGCCTGATGGGAGATAGGGGAAGGACTTTGAAAATAAATTATTGCCTGTTGCTTCAGCCATGAAGCAGTTACTCAGTTAATGGTTTGTATTTGAAGACAATAATTATTGTGGCTCTGTGCTCTGTGTAAAAGGACTTTGTCCAAAACTTAAATCTATTAGGTAGAATTCATACTTTAGGGTTGGTGTGCACTTACAGGTATTTAAAATAAATAAATATCTTTTCTTTAAAGGTCGAGTAAACATTGTTGATCTACAACAGGTAAATTTTAAATTTACAAATTGTTGCTTTGATTTCTCAATTTTTTGAGAGCATAAATTTGTTTAGTGGCTTAAAAATTATTTGTTAATACTGGTACTGTATTTTGTATGATGTTTCTGAAGAAATAGTTATGTCTTCACTGATACGTTGAATAAATTGAATAAGTTCTGATATACTGAAATGATAAATTCTTCTTTCTCAGTTGACTTGCTTATTCTTTATTCCCTTCCAAATAAATTCACAGTTACCACTTTATATAATCGTGGTATTTATACAATTTGGAGAAATAGATCATTAGAGTTTCATGTTTACATGTGTTTAGTATGTGGAAGAAAGAACTCTAAAAAAGGGTTGAGGATATTTTCAAAAATTTTAATTGCACATGTCTTTGTCAAGGTATGCTATTTACAAGAAGATGGCTATTTTTTCTGAAATGGTGGCCATTATATGAATATGTAATTTATTGCTAAATGTAAACTGTGAAAATACAATTCTTCAGAACTAAAAGCATATAGACCATAAGTCTTTAATTTTTTATTTGACCAAGGCACTTTACAATATTTCCAATCAATTCAAAATTCAAGAATAATTTCTTAAAAAAATAAAGTTCTGAATGTATAATTTCAAACTTAAGAAACAGTACATATCTATCACTAATAGAATTTGTGTTTGTTTTCCAGGTAATTAATGTGGACCTGACTCATATTGAAAACAGAATTAGTGACATTGTTAAATCTGAAAAGCATGTTCAGCTAGTGTTGGGACAACTGATAGATGAGTAAGTACAGTGTTTAGGAGCGCTTTGGTTTTTTTTGAGACATACCTTATTTCCACAGAAATTAAACATAAAAAATAAGAAAAAATATTATTCCTAATTTATTGTTTTCATTCTTTTCTTTTTTTCACTATTAGGAACTATTTGGATCGGTTAGCAGAAGAGGTAAATGATAAATTGCAAGAAAGTGGTCAAGTAACCATATCAGAGCTGTGTAAAACCTATGATCTTCCTGGAAACTTTCTGACACAGGTATTTTTCCTTGATAGTATAATGTGTCCTTTTTGACAAGGAATTTTAAAAGGAGGGAAAAACCAGACTTTCTCACCATCAATTTATTGCAGGTATCTGATTTGATATATGTTGTAGCGATGTATTTTGGAGGTACTTCCTGTACCTGAGGAGATTGTTCAAAAACAATTACCTTCCTGAACTGAGAGACATTCTAAAAGCAATTAACAGACTAAGTTCTAGGGCTGTCTTGATGGAATAGCAAGTATAACATAAGTGCATGAATTCAT